TGAATTTGAATTAAAATGTGCAAAAATCACCAACTTTCCAACAGTTTAGCATTTTACTGTTATATTTTTATTTTCTGACAACATCCCTGTTTGGAGTAGGGGACGCTCACAGGGATCATTTTGTGGAGGGAGGAGTCACATGACCCCACAAACTGCACCTTATGTGCGCACGCGTCAAACCCGAAACAAAAAGGCTAGCTTAGCAAAGTGGCTAACCATTGTTTTTTTCCTTCATATCGCAAAATGAGGTTTTAGGTTTTGTTGAGCCAGTTAAGACAAAGAAATTCTCAGGCATTTAATTTAAAAATTTAAAGTAAATGTGGGTAAATGCCAGAAGTTCCTCTAATGGCCACTGGGGGGCCGGTTCCAAAAACGAGTCAATCTATGATGTCATCTGCTGTTAAAGCAGCAGCACCTCTGTCAGAGCACTGTGACATCATGACATCAACAACACTGGACTATCCTGGCTGCTGTAGATGAGTTAGCAAAATATAATATCAGAAAAAATGATCCTAAAAACATTATTACTACTATATCTATAGTTTATTTAAGTGTGCTGTGAAGACATTTGGGAGTGCTTGAGCACCTGAAAAAGGATGCAGCAGCATCAAGCTCTGGCTACTTTGATCTTTGTCCAAATATGAACATTTTTGGTTCCAATAACAAATAGATATAATATCACTTTGAACCACGAGATGATGCAAAATCATGAGATATTCTAACATTAGTAACTATGAGCTATGCAGCATCTGTCACAGTACAACAGCAGGAATGGTTATAAAAAACAGAGACAGACTCGGATTAGTTACAAGACGTCTTTAAAGACAGCAACACAAATTCATTTCAAACATAACGCTCAGTGAATTACTGCAGGAAAAGTTTCTGATAGAAGGCTGACACCAGGTGGTTACAAAAGGTTTTTACAGAAAGAAGTGTTATCCTTTTGTTTTTGCACCGTGTATAAATATATCACACAGACGCACGACCGCCGCCGAGGTCGGCGCCGCTGTGCCGTGCAGCTACATTTCTGGGAAGGGTGCATGTCAGGCTACATTGCAGGATTAGTACAATGCAGTTTGATAAATCATTTGGTGTAAACAAATGTTTGTCCTAAACGTGGAAAGACTCCCTTAAAGTGTTCCTGAGATGTTGCATTAAGGCGACAGTGGAAAAGCTAGGAAAACAAAGCTTCCAGCTGCCACTGACATTTCAGAAAATGTGCTTTAGACAAGTGAAGTCACCTTAAAGGCAAAAACAAGCAGATTTCAGCACTCGGCCAAATGATTACTCGAGAAAAAAAAAAAATGAGGAAAGCCACATAACCTGCCAAAAAGTAATATTTGAATACTTCTAATACAGAAAAATTAAGGTTCTTAGTGTTAGTTATGAAGCAATTACATTTTAAATGCTGTGACTGATTTTATATTGAATCATACCCACCACACCGCGGTGATCGCGCCAATTCATCCCATGTTACACACGTTTACCACACATACACTTTAATGGCACATTGACCCTTTTACTGCAGTCTGCTGCAGGACACAAACATTACCGCAAAGCGACCTGCGAGCGCAGAACCACACCACACAGAGGCTACATGCAAATATCAAATAAATGGCACAATGGCAGAACTTCAAGGCAGCGTTTTCAGTTCCAGTACGCAGATTTAAGTCACTGTAACTTTTGCTAAATGCATCTCGTAAGTGCAAAGCTTGTCAGACCTTTATCACACAGATGTTGACTGGTCAAATGTTTGGCCGCACCTGCATGTAACTGGATTTCTGAACCAACAGGCACTACAATATTCGTTTCCACAGTATCTGCACAGGACCAGAGGCTTTCTGGAGCACCACTTATCACAGGAGGAGCACTGTCCCAGCTGTGTGCTGCCATGGTGTGACTGGCAGGATTTCGCCATGTTGCAGGATTTAGAGTGGAAGACTCTGCACACGTGGCACAGGATCTGAGGGTCTGGTTTTTTGAGATCGCAGCATTCGTGGTAGGCGATGGCAGGAGGGAGTGCAATTATTGATGCGGGGTCTTCACTCAGAGGTAAGGAGCTCACTGCTGCACTGCTGCCAGTGAGAGTGGGTGATCTGAGGCCTCCACTCGGCATTTTCTTCACTTGTTTCACGTTGTGGACATTCTTTCTGCAAATCGTAAGGACCGCACAGGTCTCATCGTGCAGGGTTTTGCATTCAGAGCAGTAAGAACAAGAATCTGAGTTCTGGACGCACCTGCAGAGGTTGTAGTCGCCATCCTCACTCTTCAGAGCCTCGATTGGATCTACCTGCAGACTTTGAGGCTCAGTGTTTGTTTTACTCAGCCTCGTAGCACCAGGGGAACGCCAGCTTGGCCTCTTGCTGTCCGAGGAGTTTCTGCCGGTGAGCGGCTCTCGCTGTGGGAACGATGCTGTCGTTCCGTTGCTGTGTGTTTGGACAGTGGTGGGTGATACGTTGTCCGCTGTCGTCCAGATGAATGAGCAGGGACTCTCTTCGTTGTTGACAACCATCTGCGGGTCCTCTTCATTAACCGGATCGGTGTACAGATCCACGTCTCCATCGGGCTGCTCCATTAGGGTCTCGCCAACTTCCAGCATCTTCTTGGTGTTCTCCACAGCAACCTGTAGGGAGATATAAGTAATAAAGTCGATTAAAACAGCTTGCTTGAGGCAGACAATGAAGCGATTGGCTGCACCACGGCTGAAAAAAAACCCAAAAGATCTCAGCATCAGCGTCACATACCTGCAGGCCGTTTCCTCGCTGCCTCTCCATCACTGCGCTCAGCTCCCACTGGGTGTCACCGCAGCGCTTCCCCAGCACCGTTGTAAGAAAGTGGCACTCGCAGCGGGCCAGGAAGAAGGCGCAAGACAAACGAAGGAGGGTATCCGAAGAGGTGGAGTTCACTCTGTGCGTCTGGAGATGGAGCTGCTCAGATGATGACGCGCCGAGCTCGTACCCCAACAGGTTGAACAGGTTCTCGATCTGAGCCGTCGACAGCACCGGGGTGATGTAGTGCGTGAACGTGCCGGAGTACATCTGGGACAAAATGTAAAACTTTAAAATCAGATTGATTATTTTAACACGTGAACTTTTTTTCTCCTTCTGGCCCACCTGGATTACAGCGTACTCCTTCCTCCAGGAAGCCAGGTACAGGTTCAAGGCTGCTTGCTCCAGCACCTCAAAAGCTTTGGCCAGGCCTTGCAGGCCTCCTCTGGTTCCAACTCGTCTGCTCCATCCTGCTGCTGTGACTGCCTTGAGCGACTCCTCCATCACCCTCAGTGGATCCACACCCAGGCAGTGGATCTTCTGAGCATTTCCCTCCTTCATAAGTCCCTCCACCTTTCTCCACAGCTCCTCATCTCTGCACGGCAGGCTCGAGCCCCGTTCCGCGATTTGGCGCTCCAAACTGCGATCGTAGGCGCCCGTGAGATCTACGTCTCTCTTCCGGGAGAAGCTCATCTCTTTCATCCATTTATTAAGAGAGAGAGACAAAAATAAACCAAGATGATCCTAATAACTGAGTCACACTTTTTTTTTTCTTATTGCTGTGCATCGACCTAACAGTGCCCGCTGTCAACAGATGTCACTGAGGGAGTGTCCTATGGATTGAATTACACCTCATTTCACTCCAATGGGATTGACAGCAAGTGGAACCTCCTACAGACTGTTAACATCAGAAGCACCATATTTCTCTGTTCTGTTAGTAACTATTCAATAAAGAGTTACAGTGTGACTAAAGTTAAACACACACACACACACACACACACACACACACAGGTGTTTTCCAGGTTCCTGCTATGTCTGCAGCACATGCTGACGTAACTGTGGCCACTGGAAATATAAAACATTTCGACCTTTAGCCTCATTAAATATCACACTCTGTATCAGCTGCGGCTCGTTTTGCGCACATGTTAATAACGAAAGTGAAACTTTACAATAAGTGAAAATAAGTTGACTCACTTTGTGTTTTTTACATCTAACAAACTTTAACGTGTTTTCAGGGAACATCCGGGAACTTCAAGCTCATCAACGAGAAAAACGAGAACCTTTTTTTAACAGCCCCACTTTAGCATTAGCTTAGCCGCGTCTACTACTTTAGTTACCCCAGAGAACTTACGGGTCGGACAGTGAACGCACCCCCCGCCCGCACATTGTAAACCGGCTTGTTTTCCTTACTTTATCCAGTTTGCGGTGAAGTGGCGCCGGGAAGCTTGGCACCGAGCTGTTCTTCAGTTCGGCCGACATATAATCCGTCGACGAAAGCGAAATCAACTTTTATCAACCTTCCAGTGTGATGTCAGGCTCAGTCTGTGTGGGAAAATACCCAGGAAGTGCGAGGAAGCGGCTGAACCTCCCCAAGGAAGATGTACATTTTTCATATTAAGAAGACATCTATGTCGTTTTGAAAACACGCCGAATTACACGTACGCTCCCGATAAACTTGGAAACGTAACGATTTAAGTTTTAAAATGTGTGTTTTTTAGCCAAAGCGCGAGGCAATAGAAAACCGGTATAATTTGTAGGAAAATTCGGACTGAGAGAACATGAAGAAGGTAAGTTCGTAGGTATGCGAAGCTAACGTAACGCAGCTGGCTACAGGTGGGCCAGTCTGGCTTTGTTCGATATAAAACGTGTGTCTGACACACAGACTCACCTGTTCCTGGCACGTAATCAGCTGTTTTTGCGACTCCGGCCGCGCGACAATCTGCTCGATTATCTGGGTAACGTAAACATTGTCACGTGGCACGGGATTTCCAGTTTATACAGGGTGTGTTTGTTAGTTGTTCCTGGATGTGCCGTTAGGTGGGTGGAAACAGTGGAACAATTACTTTAAGTTAAAAGAAAAGTGACTTAAAAACGGGCTGAAATACAGAAAAGGTGGAAACAGGAAGAAGCTGCAAAGTGTGCTACCGAATAAATCGATTAAATCAACAGTTTTCTTGCGTGTAGTTTCAGCCACTAGATGGCAGCATTTCACCTGCTGCGGCAGCCTCACCTCTGCATGAACCACTGACACGGCACACGCAGACACACAAACACACGTCTTCCTGTCTTTGTGAGGACGTTTACTGACATGATCACAGGTGAGCAGCTAGTTTAAACTCTTTAGCAGAGTTTTTCTGGTGCGATGGGAACATATCCATACATTATACAAATAAATTGTAAAAGTATTTGTTCTGTGGTTGTTTTTAGGGCGGATTTAATGTGTTTCTGTTTATATCTAGTTCTGAGCAATAGATTTGTGAGAAAAGTATAAATGTTGTATTGCACTAACGAAATATAATTCCTGATAATATACCACAAGTTCATTACCCAAAGTGACAAAAGGTCACAGAATGTCCCAATCAAAGCTGTAAATTCTCTGTCTTAATCTTGTAACACCTTCGGGGTTTTGTTTGTTTTGAGCCCATTTGACGCAGAGTTCAGATTAGCATAGACTGTATATAACAGATGGATGTAACCATAATCTCTGGTTTACAGAAACCTTTTTGTGAAGCCTTGAGATGAATGTTTTTGCTGCTCCCATCTTAGTTTGCCACAATCTGACACCACACACGGGGCAGACCTGACTGCATACTCATAAAGCGGTGAACAGCCAGGCCCATCATGGAGCATATGCTGCTTTACCACCTTTCTAGATCATTATGTGCAATATTATGTTGAACTCAGTAGTAACTTAAACTGGTCATCGAGCCAATAAACTGACTGCCTGAATTAATGGTCACAAATCTGAATTTAGCCTCACCCCTGAAAGGTGCCCTCACGCTCAGTACATGTTCCCACTTCCCACATTTAAATCTCTCCACCGGTCCTTTCAAATTTAGCCGTGCCAGGATACACATACACGCGGAGACAGAGTATGGGCGTGGCTTCAGTGACCCCGTAGACAAGGGCGGACCCGTGATCCTTTAAAGCATCCCGGTCCGGCCAGGATGCTCTGCACAAGCCAGCAGCTTCACTTCGCAGTCATCCTCCACCCTCCATCCTCCAGCAGGTCTGTGCAGCTACAGTCGGCATGTCGAACTCGGACAGGGTTGTGTTAGCGCTCGGAGGAGCGGGAAAGGTGGGCTCCGGGATCGTTAAAGGACTGCTGGATAAAGGTAAGCTTCTCTGTAGCTCGAAGGACATTTGGCAGGGAAAATAAACTGAGTGAAATAGAGGAGGACAGTGAATTGTTAATGTGATAAATCTTTGGGACATCTATGCGTTTTTACGCGCAGGTGTCTTTCCCCTTGGCTTTTACGCGTGAGGATTTTTGTGCGGTATGGCCACTTTTAATAAAAACAATTATTACTTATTTATACTTTATACTTATTATTGTTTTATTGTGTCTGAATTGTTAGACAATTAAATAATGACCCGCCATAAGTGTTCCGCCCGCGTGCGTAAAACTGCCGGTCCACTGTATTGGGGTTTCTATGCCACGCTCTACACCGACAGGTCCGCTTATCACATTTTTATGAGGGTAAAAATAAATTTGAGCGCGCAATGTGACAACTGATCTACCAAAAATCCCCTTCCACTCTCATAAAACTAAACTGCAACACAAATGATCTATTATTGATAATAAAATGTTGGATTAATAATCATAGACGTGTCAAAAACAACAGGCTGTTCCCACTACTACTGTACAGGTTCCTTTAATCTTCCTTTAATCAAGACTTAGGGGGAATTACCAATATGACACAATGGAGTTCTCATAATAATGCTTCATTGTCAATAAAAGCATGTCCCATCAGGAAATCTTTGGAACAGTAAAGACAGAATAAACATTCCCAGGCAGTTGTGTGTGTGTGTCATTGTGTGTGTCATTGTACAGTTTGGCTTTGTCATATCTGGGATTGCTGTGTGGGTGGTTTTATCAGCACAGTCTCATAAAATCATATCTAAATTGATCTGAACTCCTATCATCATCATCTTAAACTAAATTACAGTTTATGGCGGGAGTTAAAAGAGCATAATTTCAGTTCAGCTTCATCCCTGTTTGGATTCTGTTGTGTTCTTAAAGCTGGAATCTGTTGTGGGCATTTACCGTTCTGTGCCTCCAGGAAGGAAGAAGCTGAGATGAGAGTTTATTGGTTGCATGCTCAAAGCTTCTTTGTTTGAACTGAGCAGTAAGTTATTGTCAACTTCCCGGTCAGATTTCACTTTCTGATGACCTTGACAGAAGCAGCACAACAACACAGGTTCACTCCATCCTACTGTCTCTGTGTGTTTGTGTGTCAAGGTTTTAAAGTTGCAGTGATCTCCAGGGACGGCAGCCGCCTGGAGAAACTCCGATCGTTTGTCTCTCCCAACACAAAGGATAACCTCACCACTATAGTGGGAAATGTGGGTAAGTCAGGTTACTCATCCTGCCCGTCTCTGCTCTGAGGATTGTTTGCGCTTGTCCGCAGCTCTTATCGCATAATTACTGATTCCTCCCCGGCAAACACTTTAAATACAAATCCAAACTGTGTTTAGTCAGAATGTGCAAAAGAGAGCCTGCAAAGTATGGGAGTGGCAACATACTGCACCGGAGCTGCACTAAATCTGTAGAAACCCTCACATGCAGGGAAATCTTTCTCAGGTGGATATAAGCACCATAACTGGCTCATTTACTCTTTTATCAGAAAGCCGGTTAGAGATCTGAAAATGAAGTTTTTATTTCCAACATGGTCACCAACTCTGATGAGAAAATCTCATTTTACCATCATTCTTAGTATCAGGTTGTGTGTGTGTATGAGCTATCTTTAGAAAATACTCAAAAACCTCTTTGCGCCATTTTTTAACAGTGAGCTCAGGAATAAAGGTGTAGAGGCAGTACTTATGTTTCAGCCACATCAGCTGAATGAACTCCAGGCACTCCTCATTACTAACTTTCTGTGGGGCCATAGGTGAGAGTTAGAGCTGATCATCGACTCATCAGAAGGTGGGTGGTTCAATCCTGGCTTTTCCAGTCTGCATGTTCAGCTTGGACTAAAGCCCAGATTGCCAAATTGGCACGTTCCCCTGGACTGTTTGCTCAGCAATGGAGGGCAGACAGCGTCTTGTGCAAGTTCACACTCCAGAAGTTAGAGTTCGGTTCATGCAGGTTAAAGCTGCATGAACCGAACTCATCATTTAGAAGTCTGAACTTTACAGGTAAAAAAGCAAAGCTTCAGGAACATTTACATAGTTGTTCATGTGCACTCTCAGGTATTTCCTATGACTCCAGTGTGACCCTTCAAATTTGTGCCAAGTGGAGCTGATGTTGTAAATTCTTATTTCAGACTCGGGTCGTCCAGCTTGCATGAAAATGTAAAAACGTCTGTACTCGTTCGCTCACACAGTCTCCAACTGCTCAGTAATGGTGCAAAGCCGGTGAGCTAGTTCAGGCAAGCAACCTCACCAACACGCCTGCCTCTCCTCACGTCCAACACCAAACACACCCTCTCTGTTTGGCGGCCAATTTAAGCTGCAGAATTTTCCATCTGAGCCTCTGACATGTCAGTGCTGCCCTGCTGGTTCGTCCCCTCGTATT